CCTTCCTCCTGGTGTCTGATGACGCTTGTGCTCCTCAGTCCTCCAGGAGCACACCCTCTCACTCTCAGCTCCTTGTGCCCCTTGCTCCCAGCTCCTCACACTCCCACCACAAACTGAAGTGAGCTCCTTTTAAAACCCAGGTGCCCTGATCAGCCTGCCTTAATTGATTCTAGCAGCTTCTTCTTAATTGGCTCCAGGTATCCTAATTAGCCTGACTGCCTTAACTGGTTCTAGTAGGTTCCTGATTACTTTAGGGCAGCCCCTGCTCTCGTCAATCAGGGAACAGAAAACTACTCATCTAGTGGCCAGTATATTTGCCCTCTACCAGACTCCTGTACCCCACTGGTCTGGGTCTGTCACAATATGGAGTGCAACATCACAGGGTCGTTCAAGGGTTGTTCTGCCTTGTGCCTGCCATTGCCAATCTGAACAATCTGTGTATCTTTTCTGTTTTAGTAGTGTTCTTAAATGTAAGTCAAGTGGGTCAATATGCCCATTAAAAACTGGTTTCAACATCCTGGTGTTGGAGCTCACTCTGGAGGATAGATTCTTTTTGAAAAACTGGGAGAGGCATTATTGCAGTGGGTTCCACAGTGCTACATCCATGAAGAGTAAAACAAAAATGTGGAGTAGTGACATGACAAATGAGGCCTCCAGATCTACATTTTTTGTAATTAGTTACTACTCAGTACTGTCCATCCATTTTATAAGTTACCCTTAAAAGCTGGTTGTCTCCATTTGGGAAGCTTTACTGGGCAGGAGACAGCAGCGGTTAGCTTCTCTGTCTCATTGTACTGAGCTGAGCCACTGTGACCTCACATTGGAGTGGCAATGTCAAAACCATCCCATCAGCACATATAGCAATATCCCTCAATGGAACAACAAGACATGGGCGGCTCCTTCCGGGTTTGTGTTACTGTGTGGAACTCCAATCGTTGCAATAGATCCAGTCATTCTTTGTAGATATCAACCTATATCTGTGTCCGGATCCAGTATTGGTAGTGATATTGTACAAGAAATGTACATGGAATCAGACACTGAACAAGATTGTGTCACTGATCCCAAATTATGCATTGTGCTAAAAGGAACTTGCCTACATAATTTAACACATTGTTGATCTACTGTAGTATTGCTGAGCACTGGGGACGACACCATTCAATTAGCTGTTTATCTCTACTAAGGTCAGGCAGTTTTCCTTTTTCAGTATTTTCTAATGAACTGGTTCTGGTGGTTAGCACTTAACATCCATAATAAGCGGTACAGGTAAGTTCTCTACCAATACAATTTTCCCTTGTCTTTAGGCTGTTTACTATAACTGATTTTTACTTGTGTTTGATTAAACAGTTTAGCAACATCATGCATACTGTACATGATCTATCATTTCTCAATAGCCAGCCCCTCAGTGCCATGGTTCAGAGACGGTTTCCGCTGTCTGGTGGTCCAAATGGTTAATGCGTTTTTAACGTATGTTTTTACCATGTAATAGTCACCAAGTTACTTATAACACAATCTATGCTTTTGTTCTGTTTTTTCCCAATTCTTTAGCACAAGTAGACCTGCTTTTGCAGTTTTTGCAAAGACATTTATTTTTACTTCCTTATCTTGTGCGTTACATTAGTATTGTATAGTAATTTCTCCCTACTGTTACTCACACCTTCTTGTCAACTGTCTGTAATGGGCCATTCTTATTACCACTTCAAAAGTTATTTTTCCTCCCTTGGTATCCTGCTGTTAATTGATTTATCTCGTTAGACTGACCTCACACTTGGTAAGGCAACTCCCATCCTTTCCTGTATTTATACCTGCCCCTGTATTTTTCACTCCATGCATCTGATGAAGTGGGTTCTGGCCCACGAAAGCTTATGCCCAAATACATGTGTTAGTCTCTCAGGTGCCACAAGGACTCCTGGTTGTTTTTGCTCATACAGACTAACACAGCTACCCCTCTGGAATTTTGAGGGTATTAAACGATTATGACATTTGATTGTACTTAGCATAGGTGTAGTTTGACTCCTATATTTGGGGCAGCAGCTCCAGCCAGGCCAACAAGGCTGCATGTGGCAGGCAAATTCCACTCCTGCCTGAGGCTTGCAGGGCTGGGCCTGCTGTGGGGTCACCGCTGGCCTGTGGGGCCAGGCGCTGCGTCAGTGTTTCTTTGGGTCTCTCACAGGGTCCCAGGGAGGAGTTAACCAGGGCCATGGAGTGGCTAAAGTGCAGGAGCTCTGAGCTGGGGGAGGGGGCCTTGGAAGCCACAGCTGGAAACCACCCAGCTTTCAGGGGCTTCGGGTGGGAGGGCTAGGGCTGCCCCACTCCCATGCGTGGGTTTCCTGTTGACTCAGAGTCAGCCCTGTGCTCGGTCACATGGTGCCGCCAGGCCCCCTCCCTGCACGGCAGCTGCTGGAGCGGAGTTAGATTTTCCTACTATCTAACCTCAATCTCCTTTGCTGCAGATTATGCCCATTACTCCTTGTCTTACCTTCAGTGGACATGGGGAACAATTGATCACCTTCATCTTTATAACAGCCCTTAACAGACTAGAAGACTTCTCAAGCTCAACTGAAAGGTTCCAGTTCATGGAGAATCCACCTGGGGAGTTGTTCTCTTTGATTTAGGTAGTTTTAGGACCCCAGTAGCCATGGCACCCCTGTGAGGTTCATTGTACAAAGGGGAAACTGAGGCATGGAGAGACTAAGTGACTAGCCCAAGGTCAGTTTGTGGCAGAGCAATGGATTAAATGCAGGTCCACCACATCTCCACCTAGCACCCTAATGACTATACCATCCTTCTTCCCCCTTTTTTTTTCAACTAAAATAATACATTCCTCACACACCAGTCTTCCCACTGACATCAGTGGCACTACTCAGCGTAAAGGTGATGAAGTCAGGCCCTGCTGTATCTTCTGCAAAGTGCCTAGCTCATTTGGGGGCACTATAAAAAAAGTAAATTCTCCCCCACAAAAAACTGTATTAAGGTTAAGAAAATAACCTGCTGGTTGATTGTGCTACGTCTCTCTCTAGATGCTGCGTCAAAGAGAGAATACCAGCCTGCTACTGCTGCTAGCTAATGAAGTTGCTCCTTTACCTCACGCGGTAGAGCACTATGTGGGAGAGCCTCCCCCTACACCAACCTCTAGTGCAGCATTAGGCTCAGCTCCCCGTACTTCTAATGATCCAAATGTTCCTTAGGGTCACTCATCCAAGTCTTGCAGCCATTTAGCTTATGAGACAGACCCACTATCCTAGGTGCTGTAAGAGGAGAGCACCACAGCTGGGGCTTTCACCGGAGCCCAACCAAATCTCCGACACATCATTGAACTTGCCAGCTGAAAAGATCAAGGAAAACACCCTCGCGGCTGATGGACGAGTTCTCTGTATTAAAAAGAGGCAATTGTTTTATTGACCAAAAATATGGAATGTAATATCCTGGCCAGTTGGTACGACTGAAAAGGCTCTGGGTTTCCTTGGCCAGTGGGAGCTGGTAGAGCAGCAGGGCACGGTCCAGTGTTAGTCGTCTCTTTCACTGCGTCACGTCTGCTGCGAAGGCTTCAGCGCAGAACTCGATGTTATCGTAGGTCTATCTCGTCTCCTGGGGACAGGGGAGTGAGTCAGAGACAGCTGCATAAAGGAACGGGGCTTGGGGTGGGTTTTATGCTACTTGATCTGGAAGTTCTCTGGTGTCTTTCCCAAGGATCTCAAAGTGACTAACCCTAGGGGTCCCCATGTACCTTTGGATCTCCATCCCTTGAGCTTCCCGTCAGCAGACATCACCATGATTAAAAAGGAGGTCAGTGTCTTCATCCCCATCTAAAGGTGCGCTGATTGTGGCACAGAGGGCAGAAGTGATTTTCCCAAAGTGACCCCTCAGGACAGCGGCAAAGCTGAGAATAGAGCCTGACCCTTCATCCTCTGCATGATCCATTAGGCCACACTAGCCTATTGTATTGCTAACCCCTAGAGACCAGGATGCCAGTCGATTGACCTCTCTGCTCTTCAGCCAAATCTTGCTGCTAAGTATGGGTTGTGATGAAGTGGGAAGTTTTGGTAATATTTGTTATGAAGCCGATGTGTGCCTCAGTTTCCCCTCTCTGCTGTGTCTGGCCTCAGGGCTGACCTGAGTCAAGGGTTATCGTATTTCAAGTTTTCAAAAAGGGGAACTGAGGGGGGAAGGTGGAGTGGGGTACAATTGGGGATACTGGAGGGGGCACCTACGGCAGGGGTACTCACTGGAGGGGGGGGGTGTCGCTCCCTGTCATGGGGGCAGGACGGCTGATGCAAGTCCAGCATGCAGCGACAGCCACCAGTTAGCACCTCCCTGCGGGACCCCGTTCCCCGGGGCTGGGAGCCGGGAGCCGGGGCCTGGGTGGGCAGGATCGGGCAGCTGTGGTTGCACCAATCAGCTGCAGATGCAGGGGTGGGACCAATCAGGAAGCTGAACAATTGGGACTCTTGCTGAGCTCCAGCGTCTGCTCTGCAAAACACCTGGACATTTCCTGTTATCTGAAAAATCTGCCCGGACAGAGGAAGGAGGCTCATAGGCAACGTGCAGGAAAACCCGGATGTCTGGTCACCCTACCTGAGTCTCCAGCCCTGGACGAGCCTGGCCTGTGTTCCCTGGGTATGGGGGCGGCTACACCTGCTGGGAGACAACAGGGAGCTCACTCAGAAAGGGACCGGAGCAGCCTCTGCCCCTGCTGGGATCCCGCCTGACACTCTCCACATTGCCCAGCTATCTGTTGGATTCCTGCCCCCACCCCCAGCCTGCACTCCCATGCCACCTCCCTCCCCCTCTGACCGGATCCCTCCCCCATCCTGGCCTGCCCTCCCCACACCTCCCGCCTCCCCCACTGCTGGGTTCCCTCCCTTCCGCAGGAGAAACCCCTCAGTCTTTGGCCAATTTCCCATAGCACAATCTCAGCTTTCTACGGCAGCAGGGAGCTCGTGGACAGCCAGCCCATGGGTGCAGTTAACCCAGAGTAATTTTAGGGCGCTCCATAAATTACATAATGCACTGGGGTGGACGGGGGTCTTGAACATCACCCAAAACCCGTGTGACTGTCCCATCCCTGACACAGCTGGACAAATGTCCACCCACCTGTGACTCTGGTCCGTGTGCTGCTGGTCGGTGCTGGTGTCTGCTGGGCGCCACCTGTAGTTGCAGGAGAGAAGGAGGAGAGAGGTTCAGCTCTCAGGGGCTCACCCCGAGCTAGCTGCTCCCCCACAGGGACGGGGATTTAGGAGCCGGCAGGAGAAGGTTTGGGGTGACCCATAACGGAGTTGGGGAATGTTCCAATGAGGAATCAATGGCGGGGAAGAGGAACAGAACCTCCCCCCCCCCCCCGAAAGGAGAATGTTTGGTTCACTGTTGGACTGATGAAGCAAGAAAAATAACTGTTTCTTGGATCCAGGACTCCTCCCTCCAGGTGTGAGCAACTCCACATCCATCTATTTATTCCCCATCCCCATTCCTCCTTCTCTCCCTTTCCAACACCCCTATCTTTTCCTATCTGTAGATGAATAGATCTTTCCCTCTGTGTCTCTCATCCCCTCACCCCCCAACAACAACTTGATGTCTCTCTGATGGGTGTCTCTCTCCCATACACAATTCCCCAGTGTGGAGCTGTGATCCCCTCTGGGTGTGGAGGGGTTCATATCCCGTTTGGGAAAGGAGAAGGAAGAGATCGGGGTTGGGCTGGTACAAGCGAACCATCAACTACTGGCCCGGCCCTGTCTGGATGGAGTTGCCTCAGTGATACAGTAGAAGACCCTAACTCCCTTTGTGGACCTAGAACAGGAAGTTAGGTGTCTAAACCAGGGGTGAAAGTAACTTAAAGGTGTTACTGGTATGAGGGCTTGGCTCTGGGCTCTTGGAAGGGGCAGGGCCTTGGGCAGAAGGGGCGGGACTGGGGGTCAGCCTCCCTCAGCCAGCTCTTCAATGCTGCCTGGCTGGTGCTGCCTGGGGCTCCGGTGGGTATTTAAAGGGCCCGGGGCCCCGGTCAGTGCCATGGTAGCCAGGGGCAGCAGGCTTGTAGAAATGTTGGTGGTGCCCTGAACCCGCCCCTCCAAACTCTGCCCCCCCCCACCTGCCTAAGGCTCTGGGAGGGAGTTGGGGGGGGGGAGGTCTGGGGGTGCAGGCCTTGGGCTGGGGCAGGGGATTGGGTGCAGGCTCTGGGAGGGAGTTTGGGGGGGGGAGAGGGTCTAGGGTGCAGGTTCTGGGATAGCGTTTGGGGGCAGGAAGTCACTCAGCTCCGCTGCGCTGCTGGTGGTGGGTGGGGCCCTGGGCCGTTTTAAATCACCCGGGGACATGTGGAGGGGAGTGCCCTGGGGCGGAAGGCAGGGCCAAGGGAGAGACTTAGCCTCAGACACTGATGGAGCCAGGCCCCGGGCCAGGAATATTCCTGGTGCCGCGCACCATGGGCCCATAGAACTCGCCACCTATGGTGGTAGCAGCGGTGGTGGCCAGGAGCCCTGGGCCCTTTTAAATTGCGGGGCCCAAGGAAACTGTCCTGTTTGCCCCCGCCCCTGTCGGCGGCCCTGCCAGTAGGGTCCTTGACGGCCTTGGGCTTTAACATCTGTCTATGGGCCCGTACTGGCGGCCACTTCTTACCGGTACACCGTACTGGCCCACTTTCACCTCTGGTCTAAACCCCTTTGGATCCCTGATACCCAGTGGCAGCCTTGCCTGAGAAGGGGCTGCACAATTCTGCCCTTCGGGGACTGTACAAAGGAAGCCAGCAGCATTGCTGATTTCTCTGCCTGGCAGGCCGACAAGCAGGCAGTTCCTGTACAAAGGGACCCACTGAGATGAGATCCCGTTAGGGAGGGGGCCATCGCCTCTTGAGAGCCCCTCACTCACCCTTCCCTGTGGCCTGGAGCAGGTTGTGTGCCAGGTTCTTCTTGTCCATGTCCTCCAGCACCTTCCCGGCCACTTCCACCCCGTAATCCTCCTTGTAGTAGCTGACCAGCAGGCGAGTGATTTCTACAGCATCTGCTTTTTCCAGCTCTCCCCATTTGATACGGTTATAACCTGGCTTGGGCTGGAAATTGTTCAGCTTGTCTTTAAATGTCTTCAAGTCCGACTCGCCCAGCTCTCTAATGGTGTCGAACAGATGGTCTCTCAGGGGCTTTGCCATGCTGGCTTTTTGCCCTGAGACAACGGGCAGGGAGTTTCCTTTCCTTTGTTTCCGAGAAGGAAAGTGAAACAAACTTTCACAAATCCCACCCTCTTCTCTTCTGTGACCCTGGGCTGTGCTCAGTTGGCAGATTAGCAGTTTTGATCTGGCTCACGATTTTTGTGGCCCTTTTGTGGGGTCGGGGGTTTTGCCGCTATGGGGGCTTAGCCTCAGATTCACTCCTGTTGTCTTGTGTTATTCAAACACTCATGGGCACGGAGATTGGGAGGGCAAAGGGCATCTGTGCCCTGGCTGGGAAGGAAAATGGAGTTGGGGTCAGGGGGGGAAATGGAAGGAAGAGTGGCAAGAGCGATGCACACACACACACACACACACCATGCAGAGACACAGTTACACACAAACACACCCCTCCCCCCAGAGACAGTTGCATACACAGAACACACAGACACACCACACCACACTCAGTTACACCCAAACACTACACACAGGGGCACATACACAGTTACACCACAGACATACCGCACACAGAGACACACATGCAGCCTGACACACGCACACACACTGACAATCACTGACAGATACACACACCATACGCAGACACTGTGACACAAACACACACACACACAAAGACTTGCATGCACAGTTATGCACAGACACACCCAAATACCGACACAGATACACACTGACTGATACATCCCCTCCCCTGAATCCCCATTTTCAGATCAGAAGAAAGTGGAATATCCCATTCCTCCAGCAACAGGAAATGGGGTGTGCCAATAAAATCTGGAAGCTAGTCTTAGTCACTTACGTAAGGGTGGATGTGGCCTATTCCCTACAGTTGACAAGAAGGGGTGAATATCAACAGAGGGAAAATTACTTTTTGCAGTGCTAACAAGACTAACAGATTGATTTGGGCATAATCACATCGTCTTGTCAACTGTTGGGAATAGGCCTCATCTACCCTAATTGAATTGGCTTCGTTAGCACTGACCCCCCACTTGGTAAGGCAACTCCCATCTTTTCATGTGCTGTGTATTTATACCCGCTTACTGTATTTTTCACTCCATGCATCTGATGAAGTGGGTTTTAGCCCGCGAAAGCTTATGTCCAAATAAATTTGTTGGTCTCTAAGGGTATGTCCAGACTACCCGCCGTATCGGCGGGTAGCGATCGATTTATCGGGGATCAATATATCACGTCTCGTTAAGACGCGATATATCGATCCCCGAACGCGCTCCCCGTTGACACTGGAACTCCACTGGAGCAAGTGGCAGTAGCGGAGTGGACGGGGGAGCCGCGGCCGTCGATCCCGCGCCATGAGGACGGGAGGTAAGTCGGCATAAGATATGTCGACGGTATTCCCGTAGCTGAAGTTGCGTATCTTACATCGACATCCCCTCCCCTCCCCCCCAGTGTAGACCAGGCGTAAGGTGCCCCAGGGACTCCTAATCCTTGATGAAACATACAAAGCCTCTGCTAAGAAAAGGAGCAAAGAAATTTGTTATACACTGGTGCCATCTACTGGATATTGAAGGCACTGAGCAATCCAAAATCTGAGCGCCAACAGCCAAGCAAAAAATACCTCCACCGAACCCCGAAACAGGGTCTAAAAAACATCAGAAGTTGCTGACTCCGACAAAGAAGCTCCCGTGACGTGGACACACTCCTCCTATCCCAGGGTGACCAGCAGTGAGGGGAAGCAGTGAGATTTAATTTCAGAGATTGTTCTTTCTTTTTACGGCTCAGGCGAGGTCTACACTAAAACGTTAGGTCAACTCAGCTACGTCACTGAGGGGTTTGAAAAATCCATATCCCTGAGCCATGTAGTTAAATTGACCTAACCCCCAGTGTAGAAAGCACTAGGTAGCTACTGCCTCTCGGGAATGTGTGTGTGTGGATTAATCCCTCCCATCTGTGTAGTGAGTGTAATTGCTAGTTCTCTTGTTGTGGCTGCACTCTCTCTAGTGAGACCTCGAGGAACTGCATTTTGGCTTCTAAGTAATGCTACGTGGATGTTCCTCCTTGGAACACCCAAGTCACTTGAACTAAGAGAATCTCACAGAAAATGTTTGTGCCTGCTTTTGATGCTTTAAACAAGTTCCTTTCAAAGCCAACATGAGAAACAGCAAAGACCAGCTTCCTCAAGGTGCAGCCTGTGAGACGTAACTTTACTCCTTGGAGAATTACTTTAGGTGCGGTAAGTGTGTTCGAAATACTGAAGAACTGATAACTGTTGATTATAGATCTGGGTCATTCATGGTGAATTAATATACTGGTTGGCTGGTTAAGAATAACCCAGTGTCCTCATTTGAGACATTCTGACCGAGGTTAAACTAGATCTGAGAAGGACCCAACTTTAAAATCAGAAAGCCAGCACTCCCGGGATGCAGTAAATTAAATTCCAGCTGAATTAAATTCCGGCCCCAAACTGGCTATGTTTCTCCAATAGGAAAATCTAGTTTGTTAGATTTTCAGATGAAATCTAACTGGCACTTTGGCAAATTCAAAAAATTGACCCCCCCCTCCCTATTCACACTTACTCATCTCCCTGCTACCCTGGACCAGACTCATGGCCCATCTAGGCCAGTATCCCACCTCTCCTTGATCGGCTGTGGGTGATGATCCCTAATAATAATTCTCTGTTTCCCCTTATACCCTTTGTTTGTTCAGTCCGTAAGCTCTTCAGGGCAGGGACTGACTCTCACTGTGGCTCTGTGCAACATCTGACCCACTGGGGGCCCTGATCCCGGTCGGGGTCTGCACAGCGCCAGGCACAACGGGGCCCTGATCTCGGTCGGGGTCTGTGCAGTCCCAGGCACAATGGGGCCCTGATCTCGGTCGGGGTCTGCGCAGTGCCAGGCACAATGGGGACCTGATCTTAGTTGCAACCTCCAACTGCTACCATAACAAGCAATAATGACGAGATGCCTGTAATGCACTCACATGGGTGTGTGCCAGAAAGATAAATCCACTAATTCTGGTACAGTGCCCAGTAAATAAGGTGTCCGGGCCCATATAAAGCCGTAGCTGATCTCTCACAGACTGATTGGGGGCCGTATGGCAGATAGAAGCCCAGACACACACGTGCACACAGGAGGCAGAGTGGACATGACCATGTTTTATTGGAGACCGTATCTGGGTGGATGCGAACATGCTCAGAGCCCAGCAGTGGCTGTACAGATCCCGGAGGCTTGGAACCACGTCGGGTCACTGCCCGTCCCAGGGAGCTTGGAGTTGGGCCACATGGGATCCGAATGTGTGGAGGAGCAGTGATGGCATGCGGTGTGGCTGTGGTACTTCCAGCTATGTGGGCATGGCCAGGGAGTCTCTGGTAATGGACACATGCTTGGGCATGATTGAGATGCCTTTGGTAATGGGGGCATGAACCTCTGGTGATGGGGGGCCATGATAATGGCTCTTCTGTTGATGGTAGCATGACAAGGCATCGTTACGGAGCTACTGGCGACGTAGGATGTGGTTAGCTGTGGTTACAGAGCATCTAACAACATAGTTATGGAACTTACAGCGACGTTGGCCATGGTTGAGACACCTCCTGGTCTTGTGATGTCAGGCATAGCGAGGCATGGCAGGGCACGGCTTCTCTGGGGATGTGGGGTGTGGCTTGGCGTGGTTTCAGCACCGCCAGCCCAGGTGACATGGTTGGGAGTGCCTGTGGCTCACTTGGCGATGTGGCATGGTTGGTATGGCCGTGAGGATGTGGGGTGAGGTTATGGCACAGCTGGTGACGTAGGGCCGGCTGGGCATGGTCATGGCTCTTCTGGTGACGTGGGGTATGGTTGGGCGTGGTTGTGGCACCTTCCGCTCTGGCGTCTTGGGTCAAGGTTGGGCATGGCTGGGGCACATCTGGCAGCATAGAGCATGGCTGAGCGAGTCTACAGCGCCTTTGGCAACATGGTTATAGCACTCACAGCTCCGTGGGGCGAGGTTGGGCGTGGCTACGGCACCTCTGGCTCTGCGGGGCACCATTAGGAGGCCTCCGGCTCCGGTGTGTAGATGACCAGCGGCTGGCTGTTCTTGCCCTTGTCGTGCCAGCAGACGTCGAAGAAGGGGTAGACAGTGGTGGTGAGGCGTGAGTGGAAGGCAAAGAGCGGCACCAGGTTGTCCTCGTCGCTGGCGTCGTAGAACCCCAGCAACCCGTCCTCGAAGCTGAGATACAGCCCGATCCGGCTGGGCTTGGTCTCCACCCGCAGCAGCCGCGGCTCCTTATGCTCCACATGGGCCTCGTAGTTCTTGCCTTCCTTGCAGCCCACCAGCCAGAAGCCGTTGGAGGGCAGGGCCTGGAGCCGACCCTTTCGCCCCGCCTCGGCCGAGATAACACCCAGCGCCCAGCGCGGCTTGTCGCCCACCGTCACCTCCCAGTAGTGCTCACCGCTGGAGAAACTCTGGCGGCTCACCACGCAGTTGGACTTGTCGAAGCGGCCCGGGTCGTCCGAGCTCACCGGCTGCTTGTGCTCTACGCACTCCACCCGCTTGCCGTCCTCCGACACCACCAGGTTGGGGTGGGCCGTGTCTGGGTCAAAGGTCAGGTTCTCCAGAGCTGGTGGGAGGGGAGGGGGAGAAGGGAATGGGGCATCATGTGGAATCCTGGAAAGTTAGCCCAAAATTCCACCCCTTGTTACCTCCCAACTTCCCCATTTTTCCTAATTCTTCTTTCCCACGCAGCACCCCAACCGTCCCCTTCAAGGGAGGCCAGGATCTCGGGTGGGGGCCAGAGGGTGCCCAGCACACTGGGGCCTAATGAATAGAGTACTGCACTGGGCCCAGGACGCCTGGGTTCTATTCCCAGCTCTGCCACGGGTCTGTTGAGCTGATCACTTCACTCAGGGTCTGTTTAGCACCCGGCACAACTGGTGATTGCCGTGCAGGGTAAAGGAGAATAGAATATATCCTTGGATATATACAGGGATCCCTCGCCTGGTGCTGAGATGCAGCTACCTCTGGGATGGGGCGCAGGGTTTGTTTAGCAGTCGTGCTGCAATCCTGCACTGAAAGCGAAGGTAGAATGTAGAGACTAGAATGGAGTCACCACAGCTGGGATTTTGCCAGGACATTGTGGTTAACTCACTGACTCTTGGAAAAATGCCAGGGATATTTAAAAACCACGAATGGCCAGAGCGTTGGTATGAATCTCATTTGAAATGCAACAGAGCTCCCCCATGCACTGCGCTGGGGCCCTGGGGCCAGCGCTGACTGCGAGGGGAGAGCGCCCCCTATTGAGCCACCAACCTGCTCTCTGCAGCACAGCGCCCCCTAGCGCTGCACTGGGGCAGTGGGGCCAGCAATGACAGAGCAGCCCTACTGATCCATCTCCTGCAGCTGCCCTACCTGGCATCAGTGCA